TACTTTTTAAATCTGGACAGGGCTCGCTTGTTTGTTTTTAAAATAAAAAAGTTATATTTTTGGCAAATATAAAAGCCTTTGCACACCAAAAGTGAAATGAATAAGCCTCAGGCTGAAGGGAAAGTACATTAGAATGCAGAAGAAGACATTTCAACACTTTTTGCTTATTAGTACGGTTGAACTGGATCATCGAAGGTCAGAAGCAAAGACATTGCTTAATAGAATGCTTAAAATACATAATGGATATTTGTGTTGTTTAACATTTAATTATTGCAGGTTTGCGTCATATTCTGAGTTGCATTATTTGTATTCATCTTGAGCAATACTGAATCTGTGTTTTTTTGAGAGTGAGATGAATTAATGCATATTCATATTTATTTTATATCTACAGTAACATCTTCTGATTTCTCTCAACATGAGGACAGGAGAGCTGTCAATCAATAAATTGGAAAAAAAAAAAATAACTTGCATTACTTATTTGAAAAAGTAACTCGTTACTTTACTAGTTACTTGAAAAAAGTAATCTGATTACGTAACTCGTGTTACTTGTAATGCGTTACCCTCAACACTGGTCGTCAGTATAGTGTTAGAGACCATGAAGACGGTGTGAATATAATACAGACTGTCAAGAGTCCACATCTCATTCCTTTGCAATTATTACGATTTTAGACCATTTCCTCAAGACTTTCCAAGAAGGTGATGTTCCAGTGCTGTGATGTGTTCTTGTCCTGTTGTTCTTTTGACAGGTGTGCCTCAAATGCTTGTGTATTGGTAACAATGACACTTGAAGACAATCAAACAGCTGAAGGTGCCTTAGAACAGCAGGCCAACAATGAAGGTTTGGGCTTCAGTCACAGCACCCAAACATGTGGATTATAGATCATAAACGAACACGTATCGCAGCCGGGTGAATAAATCTGATTACGTAACTCGTGTTACTTGTAATGCGTTACCCCCAACACTGGTCGTCAGTATAGTGTTAGAGACCATGAAGACGGTGTGAATATAATACAGACTGTCAGAGTCCACATCTCATTCCTTTGCAATTATTACGATTTTAGACCATTTCCTCAAGACTTTCCACGAAGGTGATGTTCCAGTGCTGTGATGTGTTCTTGTCCTGTTGTTCTTTTGACAGGTGTGCCTCAAATGCTTGTGTATTGGTAACAATGACACTTGAAGACAATCAAACAGCTGAAGGTGCCTTAGAACAGCAGGCCAACAATGAAGGTTTGGGCTTCAGTCACAGCACCCAAACATGTGGATTATAGATCATAAACGAACACGTATCGCAGCCGGGTGAATAAATACCTCCAGCTAAACAACAGGGAGCTCAAACAGACTGTCAAAGAGAATCTGAAGTGATGATTTGCAGGAACAGGCTGCTGCTGCTGCTGCCTCATTCATCTGAAATGCCCTTTCAAATGCACTTGTCTCAGAAAGTCGTCAAAGAAGTAAAACTGTCGAGCTGTTTTTACTTTGTTTGGAATGTGCACGGGACGTTACTGCTGGTTGTTTTTTTAATTTTGCTACTTAAAATTATTATACAGTTTGATAAATATATTAAATGCTGTTATAAAATTGTGAAATAAGATGTCTTTTTTACGTATATCATAAATGCTGACACTTTTTCTGCAATGTTCACTGCATTAAAATATTTATGAATATTAATTTAAGCTCTATTTGTGATTATTTTTTAATCTGAGAGATTATATACATATATTATTAAAATATATCATTTTAAAATAATAAACTGTATGATTACTTTGAATGGGATTGCTCTTAATTATGATTACCATAAATAGTAATTATAGTTAATTATTATAAAATTATAGTTCATTGTAGTTACTTTAAAATTATACATGTAAAATATAATTAACTATAATATTTATGGTAGTAATAATTATTATATAATGATAATATATAATATTAATATTTGATCAAAAATTATTTAATATATAATTCTACAATAATGATATAAGTTATTATAATATTCAATTATATTTGCATTGTAATATATTTTATTACATTATACATTTTTAATTTCATTATATTCTATTATAATTCTATATATATTTTCATGAAAATATAGAACTATATAAATATAATTCATTTTAAAACAATTTATGATTACTATTAATTGTAATAATAATAATAATAATAAGAAAAATAAGGGTGTTACTGAAAACCATAGCACTGTATTATTCAGTGTCAGGTAAAATAGGTAGATATTAATGATAGTAAAAACATTTTACAAATTGTTTTTTTAATATTTAAAAAATAAAATAATAACAGTAATGTGCTTTAGATGTTAGATTTGTTTTATTTATTACAATTTATTCAGATGGTCTTTAGAGAGCTTTCAATTAGGGTAAAAAAAAAAAACGAAACAACTATATAAAAATAAAGAAACAGTTATTCAGTACTTATTGCACAGATTGAAACCAACGCAGTATATTTAACTGTGTTGAGCTTCGGTTTCAATTCTGAAGTTCAAACAATACTGAAATGCTCCACATTCTTATGGGTTTCATCGCAGAATTTTTTTTTCAAACTTACAATAAGACATTTTAAATGTTAACAATAATTTAAATCATCATTTGATAAACTAGTTAAAAAATTAGAATGTATCCTACTTGAGATGATTAGTGATCAAGTAAACAAATGATCACACAATACCAACAAAACAAACAAACACCTGATCAGTCCCTGGCTGATATAAACACTCAATACAGTTCAAATGAACACACACACACACACACACACACACACACACACACACACACACACACACACACACAATACAGTGTGATTCAAAAGTCCCAAAGGAAAAATAAATCAAAGTTCAAGGCAGGATAAAAAAACTATAAAAGATAACTGTACTACTTGATCAGTCTCGTGATCACATTAGAGTTTGGCTTCAAAAGCTTGTGCCGGTGACGCTTCCACAGGGCCCTGCAAACACAAAACACATCATCAGTAACAGATATCACAGTAAAACGGCGCCCCCTGTTGGCCACAAGCCAGTTTCATGCACACATCTCCAGTTAGTATGTTAGTGGATTAAATGAAGGTTAAATGTTAGTACACATGGAACATCAAACTACAATACACACACACACACACACACAAACACACACACACGTACAAAGCTCAAGGGTGAAGCGTTCAGACAGAGTAGACAAAAAATCATGAACATTGGACTCTGAGAGATAATCAAAAGCATATCTGAATCACTTTATAAGCGATAATTACAATGAGCCTCATCGATCGTGAATCAGAAGGGCTGATCGCGTGTGCCACCCATACCTGAACCACAGTGAGCAATAAAATCAGGCAGTGATTGATTGATCACATGTGTGTGGAGGGGAGGAGAGACGTCCCACTGTGATCCTGAACGTCTGACCTGCCCAATGCTGCCTGTAGACACACACACACACTGATCTGTAAACATGAATGGATTTGGACAGATAGGAAACTAGAAGAGAGAATGAGATGATCAGACTGGTGGAAAATAGAATATAATAAGTGGAAAAATGGACAGGAAGAACCGGATAAGTGGAAAAGGAATGAGGGTTTTTTTCAGTTTTTTGAAAGAAATTAGTATGTTTATTCACCAAGAACACTGAGAATTGATCAAAAGTGTAATTTACAATATTACAAAAGATTTCTATTTCAAATCAACACTGTTTTTTGACTTTCTATTAAAAAAAAAAAAGAATTATCATGGTTTCCATTAAAAATTTTAAGCAGCACAATTGTATTTAACACTGATGTGTACAATTATTGTCATTTTATTTGAATATATATGCACAGGACTAAGTCATTCTACAACATTTACGAATTTGTATCCTGTTTACGCATTACCTGACCAGTTAAGTTAGAATTTGTCTTTATATGCATTTGTCCCTCAATGTTGTTATTCTGTCATAGGTTATTAAATTTTAATTTATTTTATCATTGTAATTATCTTTTTTTTCTTTTCTTAATTGTCGTTGCTCTGTGTGTTCTGTGTAAAAGCAAAAACTCAAAAATAAATGTAAAAAAAACTAACTGTATTTAACATTGATAATAAGAAATGTTTCTTAAGCAGCAAATCAGCATATGAGAAGGATTTCTGAAGGATCATGTGACATTGAAAATTGGAGTAAATTTTAAACTGTAATAATATTTCACAATGTTACTGTTTTTATTGCATTTCAATCAAATAATCAAATGATCAAATAAATGCAGCCTTGGTGAGCAGGAGAGACTTCTTTCAAAACCATTTATAAAATCGTACCAACTCCGAGTCCAAATGTTTGAATGATAGTGTAGTGTATATGAGAGGAGAGAGACAATTAAATGGGAAAACAGAGCCGGATCATGGGAAATTGGAAGGAGAGAGTGAATGGAATGCTTGGATCAAGAAAACATGACATCGCATGTAAAGATGAGCAGGACTGATGGTGAAGAACAGGATGAAATGTGTTTATAGAGCTGGTATGATTCTCAGAGCATTTCCCGTGTGTCATCCAATCACAGTGCTGGAATGTTAACACAATAAAAATTTCAAAAGCGCCTCATCAGAAGACCCTCGAAAATCTGCAGGAACATGGTAACGCTCCTGCTGTGGACGTTTGAAACAACAGCTATCAAACCAAAAACACCTTTGAATGAACACTGAAGTTCAGGTTAAAACACAACAACACAGAAACATGAGATAGAAACATCAGGAGTGTCATTTTCTCTAGTATCTGCAGCACATGTTAGTGGACATGAAATTATTTCTGTTGTATCAATCTGACAAACAAGAGACACACACTAGCAGAAAATACAAAATATGAACTTATTGCTGGATGGAAGGTCATGTAAACCTTAATCTGATTTATATCACCAATATAACACATATAATGTATAAAGTGTAATTGTAAAGTGCAACCGTGTAAATGTTTTGCTGATACGTTTGGTTTGATACTTACGGCTGCCAGTGCTTGTTGGTTTGCCAGCTGTCTGCGCAGATCAGACTTAATACAGGCTGAGATAAAGAACAGAAATGCAATGAGACACACATAATTACATTTAACATGCACCAAACCATCTACTAAGATGACTGTTGCAACCTGTACGCTCTAGTCTATCTAATCAGTATCTAAATTGTGAATATAAAATCGATGAATCCCTCAAAGAACATGTCCAGGTCATATTTCACCTCAAAAATCAAAAGAAATACATTTTTATCTTATTTTATTTATTATATGGATCCCATTTTTATGCACTGTGAAATAATTGTTTTATTACAATAAAATATTACTCCCTTAAAAATTCTATAAATATTATAATATTTAAATAATGCAATAATTATTGACCCTAAAAAGGATATGATGTTCTTTGGGCAAAATAATAATAATAACAATAATAAATGCAGCATAAATGTTATATGAAGGACTGTATAATTACTCCTTTTATTGCCTGGAAAATTAGCTGAATATTAACCAGGAACAACCATTTAAATAACTGCAGCCAACATTATTATTGTAATTATACAAGTTTATAACCATGTGCCAACTAGCCCCGACCTGGCATTTATGAAAAACATGCTTGCCCTGACAACACAGCTAACCATTTGATTAAAATCGACCTTCCTTATAGGAGCTTTTGACATGTACAACTAACTAATCTGAAGAGACACAGAAATCCCATCTGGCTCCGTGTTTGGACCTAGAAGGATTCTGGCTGTAACCGTCCCAAAACAATGTTGCTTTTCCTATATTTACACAACCCAGTGTTTTTTTTCAGTGTTTAATAGCTCATACATTAACTGAAACATCAGCGGACACCGCAGCTTTCATAATGTCAAATGAATTTTAATATACAATGCTTTCCAAGAAGCATTATCATCACCAGGAAGCAAAACATTCAAAAGTAACTAGACCAAGAGTAGGGCCAGAGTAAAAAACAACAGTTTCACAATCCCTCAAATATAAGCTCAATACTCGATTAAAGAGGAACAAATGAGTATTGAACGATCTGCACCTGTAATGATGGTTCCTATCAGCAGGAAGGCACACAGGAAGAGATTTCCGGCCAGAGTATTAAAAGAGTCCATGATTTTCCCCTGACAGATCGTAAATATGATCCCGAATACCTGCAGTAAGAAATCACAATTATTAGGATTGCTGGTAACTCCATATACTCTCTAAAATAATATAAAACTCAATGCAAAATAAGACACAACTCTTAGAAATAACAATTATCATTCAATATCACACACAAACCTGTGCTGAGCAGTTCAGAAGTCCTGAAGACGTCCCCTCAGACTCTGGGTAAGTCAATTCAACAGCAAACTCAAAACCGAGGGGAAGGTAACCCGTCATGAAGAACCTGCATAAATAACACAACATCTAGGGCAAACTTATATATACATTTATTTATATCTATATACAGTATATATATAAAGAGAGAGAGAGAGAGAGAGAGAGAGAGAGAGAGAGGGGATTTTATTGTAACTCAGATATAACAAAACAAAACAGAAACAAACTGTAACAACAACAACAAAGAAAGAATAAAATATGTTTTTCATTTGAAATCTTGTAGTACCCGAGGGTTCCTGCTGTGATGAAGACCACCCACAGGTGACCCAGATCCAAGGTAAAAGCATAAAGCACCAAACCCACAAGCGACATCACATACACGGCTAGAGTTGTTTGTCTGTGGAGACATGACATAACAGAGACGTGGGACAGGCTAAATCTTTCATCAGGATCCAACATGTAAATCCTAGTACGATTGGGCAAAAGAGTTTTTCATGTCATTCACAGCAGCTGCAAACACATGCAGATCCAGAAAAAAACATTTCAGTTTATTTCATAAAACAGCATCTGCTAAGTCTGAATCTAACGTATATCTGGGTGTTTCATCAAAACAACCTTTTGGTTTTGGAGGAAATTATGGCACAACTGTTGGATAATCACAATTTGTGTAACAAAATATATCAATCATTTTCACATCATAAAAATTTAAATGATTTATGATTGCTTTATTTTTGAAAAATAAAATCTATTACAGTTTTTACAAAAATATGAAGCAACACAACTGTTTTCAACATTGATAAAAATGAGAAATGTTTCTTGAGCAGCAAATCAGCATATTAATATGATTTCTGAAGGATCATGTGACACTGAAGACTGGAGTGATGATGCTGAAAATTCAGCTTTACATCACAAGAATAAATTATATTTTAAAATATATTCATATATAAAACAGTTATTTTAATTTGCAATAATATTTCACGATATTACAGTTTTTTTTAAACTTTTTTTATCAAATAAATGCAGCTTTGGTGAGCATAAGAGACTCTTTTCAAAAACATTTAAAAAAATCTTACTGACCACAAACTTTTGAACAGTATAGTGTATACATAAAAACTAATATTTGAAAAGTAGCAAAAGTACATATCAATAAACTCCAGAGACAATATGTCTGAAGTTGAAGAAACACCCATTAACCATATTATTAATTTGTAATTTCTGCGAAATATTGTGTGTGGAATGTATAAATGTATGTTTTTATACTTAAAAACGTTTTGATCTTGAACGTCTTTGATCTGCTGAACAAAAGAAACATCACAATGCCCAGGAGGGGAAGGCGTGCTGCGAGGGGTCAAATACACTAAAACAAAAGGTCACACGGTCTCTAAAGTCTAGGTTCATGGGTCAGAGATTCAAACACCTGGACAAACACACTTTGGGGACTCAAAAACACACTTATCTTCAAGGAGGAATGAAGACAAATGTTAATCGAGCACTGTCGCTGTCTGAAGGATATTTCAAGATTAAAGTCCAGCCTCTTACTTGTATGTCTTAGATCGGTCTAACCAGATCCCACAGATGAGAGATCCCACCATGCCAGCGATCACGATGGTGAGGCCGATCCTGCCGGCGTTCACCTCCTCTCCCTGTTCAAAGCAGAGCAAATTTTCACATGCATTCTGTTTTACCAAAAATGCATTAAGATCAGTTTTCTGGATAAACAAATAATATAAGTAATGAAACCCACCAATAATGCTAATTAAAAAGTAACTGAAGTGATTTCAGTGATTTATGTAAGCTGCATCAGGGGCTTTCGTGATTGGCTGGATAGGAGGTGGGTGGGAGGGACTTACAGGATAGTGTTCAATGATCATTCGGTTGAGAAGCGTACTGACAGCGTAGAAACAGCCAACATTCAACCCTGAAGAAGAAAGACGGATGAAGTCAAAACCAGAAACAGGCTGAAAGCATAAACTTGAAATTTAAAAAAGTAGCCTGGCAGACAGCTGATATGGTGTTGTGTGCATCTAGTAAGCAGTAAATGTCTTCACATTTCTGAAGCAGCTGTAAAGATATAAAGAGCTCTGCATTCCTGCAGGATTATTTCTGTCAATGTTCAGCCAGGTTAAATGCAGCTACAGGCTTCTCATGCAAGTGTTGCACAGGTGTGTGTGTGTGTGTGTGTGGATAGATCATAAACTCTTACTGTTAATGTAGTTCATGCCAGTCAAGTTATGACTATTTCTGTTTAGTACTTGTTTTATATTTTTTCAGATGAAAAAGTAATTTTCCATTTACTTGCACAATCTTGCAAATGAAATTACATTAATCTTCATGCCATCACAAGCTAGTCATATCTAATACATAAATAAATATATATACTAACATTTAAATCTTAATGTTTTTGAAATAAGTCTCTTATGCTCTCATAGGCTGCATTTATTTGATCAAAAATACAGTAAAAACAGCAGTATTGTAAAATAATAAAATATCTGTTTTCTATTTAAATATATTTTAAAATGTAATTTATTCCTGTGATGCAAAGCTGACTTTTCAGCATCATTATTCCAGTATTCAGTGTCACACGATCCTTCAGAAATAATTCTAATATGCTGATTTGCTGCTCAAAAAAAAAGTCTTATTATTAATGTTGAAAACAGTTGTGCTGCTTTTTCAGGATTGTTTGATGAATAGAAAGTTCACAAGAACATAATTTATTTGAAATATAAATCTTTTGTAACATTAAATGTCTTTACTGTTGCTTTTGATCAATTTAATGCATCCTTGATGAATAAAAGTATTCATTTATTTAAAAAAAAATTTAATGACCCCTTACTGACCAACAGGCTTTTGAACGGTAGTGTATTTATAAATAACTAAAATATATATTTTAATTTAAATGTATAACATAAAATCCACAGCAATTTATTAAAATATAATATAAATAATATTTTATTTTAGAAAGAAAGGGAAAATAACGTGGCTGAAGCTGCTACACAGTTTGGCTTCCTGGTTTGAGACTAGCAGGTGTAAGATACTGGTGCGAATATTTTATTCTATAATATATGGATCAAGTCCCTTCATTGTGTTTTGTGTGTTTATATGCGCGTGTGTGAGCGTGACCGTTTTTATAGGCACAATGTGACTATGACTGTAACAGCACATGTGTGATCTGAGGAATCATTTATGTCTGTAGCAGGATAAGTTATGTTCTGAAGTTTAAAAAAAGACTATAGAACTATTCATGCTAATGTTTCAGTAACAAACTACCACTGTGTGTTTAAATGGCAAGCAAGCATAATGAACCCCAGTTTGAGGTCCTGAATGGATCTGTTGTGTGCGCAGGGTAAGACATTTACCGTAAGTGATGACGAGAAGGATGAAGGCTTTGTTGCGAAGCAGCCTGAGGATGGATGCTGTATATGAGTAGTTCTCTGGAGAGATCTGCCGAGCCGCGGCCTGAGCGTGGGTGGGAGGGATCTCGGGATGCTCCTGAAACACTGACGAGAACATAAAAACACAAACTCATCCGGTCACCAGTCACATACATCACAGAGAACTCTTCATTTACATATCGTCAACTGTCGGGCGGAAGCCTCATATATCCATATTTTCGCATTTTTATTACATTTTTTCATAAATCAATGCTATCATTCTTTAAGTCTGGATGTGGGTTTTCCAAATATTGAACTAATGAAAAGTATTAAAATGAGCATGTGACTGAACCTCAGAACACCACTGGATCCTCAAACTGTCATCAAAAACTCATAGAATGAATTACCGCACCCTGTTTTCAGTTCTCTGCTATTTTGCAATGCAAGGGTAAATAAAGAACTGGTTGTTTGAATTAGTAGAGCATCTTCTTTACACAAGTAACATGGTCTATAAAGTCTAATGCTTTGTGTATTTAGGGAGTAGAGAAGAGTGTCTTAGTCTTGTCATAGCCGGTGCTGTTTTAAATAGCCTTTGCTTAGCATTTTATCTTTTTTAATATTAGATTTGAACAAAATTTACTCAAAGACAAATAAAGCTGAGCACCCACATAGCTACAATATATTGGGAGACTGAAATAAGTTGAAGTTGAAGTACTAAAATGACTAAAAATTTTATAAAATTAAATTAAAGCTAAACAGAAATATATATATTAAAAACTAATAAAAAGATATGGATAAGAATATTACACAAAATGCAAATAAAATTATTAAATAAGCTAAAATTAAAATGAAACATCACATGTATATTTCATTAAGCCAGTCCTAGAATGCAGTGTGAAAAAAAATTATTAATCAAAGCATTTGAAATAATATAAAATAATAATAAAAAAAAAATATATATATAGTCATATTATAAAATAAAAAGTCAATTATGCCTGTGTGTTAAATACAAGAGGTACATTTGGGTGGAAATCTTCTTAAATCCAATGTTTTGACATCTGTGAATGTTTGTGTTTGAGTAAAAATTTAGCCTGCTGTCCCCAAAACAGCAGGTGACTGAACTCTATTATAATTGCTCTATCAAACATACACTAGATATTAAAAACTCTGCAGCAGAATTTCAATTGCAGAGCTATTAGACAGAAACACTAGAATCTTCTGTTCTTGTTCTTTACTAGACTTACATAAGAGAGCAGGTAAAAAAATAAATAAAAAAGCTGGTAAAAAAAAAAGAAAGTGCATACATTTTTGGGCAAACTGTCCCTTTAACTCTTTAAAACATCTTGTGATTTTCTTCTTTAATTGTCTAGACATCGTTTTTGCTTGTGAGAACAGAACTGAATTCACGTGAGTGCAGCTCAGAATGTGACAGGATTTTTTTGTGGCTTTGTCAAGATAAAAATGGGCGGCTCAGCATTTAAACAAAAAGCATATAGAGTAAAAAGAGAGAGCAAAATGGGTTGAAACTGAAAGAAATCTCATTTCCCCTTCTGTCATTTGGGCTAAAGGTCAGATAATCATCAGCACTGACATACTCCATTTGCACTCGTAAAAGCAGACTAACAAAATAACGGGCATTGTGTGCCAACAAACAATCATTTATATGCTATTATGTGTATAAAATATACGTACAAAATTTGTCTGTGTACATGCAGGAAGAAGAACAGGGTAAGACTCAACAAAAAGAAGAACAGACAGGCACTAGAAGATATTAACACACTAAAGTGAGTGATCTCACTTTATGCTGCCTACATGGATAGCTGTCTTCCAAGACAGCATCCTAATCTTCATTGAATCTCTTAAATGACAGAAACTCTCTACATAGGCAGCAACTCCTCATGCCACAAAAAAGACTCACAATCGATTTGGTTTAAGCATGCTGCCAAGATAGCAAGATAAACTGTTATCTCTGTGAAAGACGTGCAATAATTTGGATAAAGGAAGATATCACATATAAGGCATCTTAATTATGTTGCATCTTTTCATTTGAACTTTGGAATGACATAGTATAACTGACGTTTGCTCTTACCAATGACAACCAATACAAACAGGAAGGTGGCCACTCCCGCCGTGATGTAGAACATGACTCTGATGTGAGCCGCCAACTCGTCCAGATTGTCCACATTTGGAACCAGTATTGGTGGAACTAGGAAGCCTATGGCAATCCCCAACTGGAAAAAAAAAAATTCTGATGTTTTGAATCCACTGCCTAGTTTTCTATGAATCAGCACACCATGAATATAAATTTGGGAACAAGCAAGGGCCTGTTCCACTTAATACTGGGATTCTGAAGACACATAACTGTCATGCAATTATGTGGTTGCACATGGTATTTACTAACAACACTTTAATCCTGTGCTCGTCCTCCATTTGTCAATCTGGGTTCCAGGGACCAATTTAAAAGTTCAGAGAACAATAGAGTAATTATAAATAGTAGTAACAGTAATAATTAATAATAAAAATAGTAATTATATATATATCTATATCTATATCTATATATATATATCTATATATCTATATAGATATATCTATATATCTATATAGATATATACAAAAATGTGATGGGTGTACTCACTTCTGTGAGATACTGTATATCATGAAATAAAAAAATGAAAATAATATTTAGAGTAATAATAATAATAATAATAATAATAATAATAATAATAAGAGTAAACAGTGTAAAAAAATAAGGTTGAGGCAATTGTCAAATGTGATTTCTATGTTATAATTTAAAAAAATTATACATTTCAATACTTGTTGGTCAAAAAATGCAAAACATATGTCTATATAAATATATATAAGATATGCGTATCTTGTCAGTGTCTGCGCTTGCTTGGCCATTTGTTTGTGTGTTGAGTTGTTTTGAGGGTACAGCAAATTTACACTGTTATACAAGCTGTACACTCACTACTTTACATTGTAGCAAAGTGTAATTTCTTTAGTGTTGTCACATGAAAAGATATAAGAAAATATTTACAAAAATGTGATGGGTGTACTCACTTCTGTGAGATACTGTATATCATGAAATAAAAAAATGAAAATAATATTTAGAGTAATAATAATAATAATAATAATAATAATAATAATAATAAGAGTAAACAGTGTAAAAAAATAAGGTTGAGGCAATTGTCAAATGTGATTTCTATGTTATAATTTAAAAAAATTATACATTTCAATACTTGTTGGTCAAAAAATGCAAAACATATGTCTATATAAATATATATAAGATATGCGTATCTTGTCAGTGTCTGCGCTTGCTTGGCCATTTGTTGTGGAAAAAAATAAGGAAAGTGTGTCCAGCTGAATTAATTTAGTATTTTGTTAGACGGGTATAAAAAAAGCTTAGTTCACCACGGCAGCTGTCGTGTGAAGGCCTCCTCGTGTGAAGACCGAAGAGTGTAAAGACCATCGAATCTACCGTGCGACTTCACCGGGCAGGACACCGGCAAAGGATAAGTATCGCTTTTTATTTCTAATATTATTTTACTAAGATAAGTAGATAAGATATACTTTAGTAAGATCTGTGTTTTCATTTTGACATTTTTCATTATTTATTTATATTATGTGTTATCATGTTTAGGAACCGTTACATTTTAGTGAAGGGAGCAGATCATAGTTGATAGTGGCCCGTGACTAGCCCACGGTTCAGCACGCATGCGTTCAGAGGATTAATTGCTAAATTTAATAGAGTAAAAGTTTGATCATTTGTACACGTTTACAAACTCAAGCGATTGTAATGCCTGTCCGGGCAGGGACACCGGCAACGGATAAGTATCGCTTTTTATTTCTCCTCTTTCCTATTACTTGTTTCACTTCTCTTTCAGTTTTTATAACCATTTCTTACTGTGTGTAAGGAAGTTGTTGTTTTTTAGCATGTGTGTTTGGCGGTGTTATTTTTTAGGATTACTGATAAACTACTGCCGGTACTGGGGATGAGTCCTCTGCACAATGTGACTTTGCTGCAGCCTGAAATTGAACTGCTGGTTTTGTCTTGTGTTTGCTGCTGTCGCCTCTGGCTTGCTTAGTTGGGGACACTTAATTTCCAGTGATATCGTTGACTTGATTGCAAATGATTGCAAAGATATTATTTAAACTGAACTGAGCTGGATGATGACATCACTGAATTCAATGATGAACTGCCTTTAACTGAAAAATTAGTGTTTACTATTGTCATTTTGCATTATTGACACACTATTTTCCTAATTAATGCTGTTCAGTTGCTTTGACACAATCTGTATTGTTAAAAGCGCTATATAAATAAAGGTGACTTGACTACTGTAATTTGATTTGTATTATTTGTATTTGTTATTTATTGTAATTTTAATTACATTATGTCTGAATTTATTATGTCTGTATAGATCTTTTATTAAGTTTTTAGTTTTATTTAATTTGAGTTATTTTAATACTTCAAAAAACTAAATGGAAATTAAATAATATATATATTGAATTTATAAATGTGTATGTACATATACAGTATATATGTATATGTGTGTGGTTGTACATACACATATGTAGTTGTTTTTTTTGGTGTTTAGCTTAATGTTATGTTAGAATCATTATTATACTCATACCTTTTGTTCTTCAATATTTTGAATTGTTTTTAGCTTTATTTTTTGTTTTTCATTTAAATGTTAAGTTTTGAAATTTTGTTGTTTGCATTTGTCATTTTTATTTAATCTCTTTATTTTTTAAATGTGTATAGGTAGTATTTATAAAGTTTTAGCTTTTAGTTTTGGATCTGTTTTTTATGAGGCGCCACGTAGGATTTAAATCAAACGAAAATTAACTTAAATGATTTTAGCAAATGGCTGCAATATAACAAAGAGTGAAAAATTTAAGGGGGTCTGAATACTTTCCGTACCCACTGTATATAACTCGATCCGTGCATATACACCTACAACACCACACGTACATACATATAAACTCGCTGCATGCAGACTCACCTATACATTCTCGCATATACATATAAACTTGATCCATGCATTTACACCTATAAACACTGGCACATACATATAACCTCGATGCGCGCATACACATCCATAAAACACTCGCGCATACATACAGAATAAAATTCACTAACGTATAGAGTTCAGATAAGAAAGACGTATACTTTAGTTGTGTACATACATATATATGCAAGTGATTTCATATGTGGATGTGCATGATATATGTATGTACACAACTAAAGTATACGTCTTTCTTATCTGAACTCTATACGTTAGTGAATTTTATTTTGTATGTATGCGCGAGTGATTTATGGATGTGTATGCGCGCATCGGGTTTATATGTATGTGCCAGTGTATATAGGTGTATATGCATGGATCAAATTTATATGTATATGCGAGAATGTATAGGTGAGTCTTGGTAGGTTTAGGGATCAGGGGGTGGAGACAGGTAGGTTTAGGTATATGTAAAGTGGGAGGAGTTGGATCTGGATCCAACCACGCCCCCTGGATCTTGTGTTCTGCAGTGAGGACCAACTCTAACATTGGCTCAAAGAATGACGAGCGATTGTGGGCAGGACTATCTGTTTGCTGACCATTAGCAAATGGGGCATGTGCAAGATACCTGTGTGGAAACGGTAATTGTTTTGTTTAAAGGGGTCCTATTATGCTCTTTTACAATGTCTTGAATTTGTTTTGGGGGTGTACTAGAACATGCTCTCATGCTTGGTGGTTCGAAAAACGCATTATTTTTTACCTAATTTACATTATTACAATACCTTTCTCCCCAACCTAGCACAAACAGCTCGATTAGCTCCGGGTTTGATGAAGGCCCGCCTTCCAAAAACTAAATGTGATGTGATTGGTTAGCTGTCCCAGTGCGTTGTGATTGGCGAACAGCTTAGACGGTGTTTCAGTACTGCCCCGCCCCTTGCCAAAGCAGCAATTTCCGTCTGTTCCGGTTTAGTTAAGGATGGCGTCAATATTGCATATCAATTTGAGCCGGATTTAGACCCAGAGAATATTGAACAAGAGGATCGTGCAGAACCTTTGCACACACGGATATTGCAAGACATTAAGAGTGGTAAGGTTATTGTTGTAATTTTTGGCTAAATCACGATTTAGATAGGACGTCAACAACCGCTTAAAATTAACTGCATTTACTATGTACAGATAAGTGCATACGTATTAGTTTTATTGTTATTTAATTCTAACATTATAACATGAATTGCAGTGAAACTGTTATATAGTTGAATTTATTTATACCATAGTCCAGTCAGTGTTTCCCAGGTGGCATATATATGCAAACTGCAGCAGGAGGCGCTGTTGGAGTGGTAGAGATCAAGGTTTACCCAGTAACGGCTGTACACAAAGCAGCGCTTCGCTCAAAAAAAAAAACCCACTGCTTTATCAGACATTACACGCAAGATTAAATGAAAATGACATCCAATTTTCTGAAGACAGTCGGTTTCCTTCAGAAATACAGTGATATAAAAACACCCGCACTCAATGTATGGGAAACACTGTAGTCTCAATAATTGAAGTGTAAATTCTGCAGATTACATCATTGTCCAGTATTGTACTGTCAGCAATTTATTATAAAAACGTTTTCATAATTGTAACAAACATATTTACATACATAATTATTCAGGTGCACGTCTAATGGGCCGCTTTGTGACATCACAAAACCCGGAAAACAAACGCTGTAGTCCAAACGAGCCGTTCGTTGTAGTTCATGAAAAGTGATTTTTTTTAAACGAAATATCTCCCTTTGGGGTGGACTTTTGAGATTTGTACCTTTCTAGACCTTTTTTTATGCCCAAACATACACACTGACTAAAATTCAAAAGGTGAAAAAGCATAATAGGACCCCTTTAATGTACACAAGGCTACACACTTCAGCTTTAACTTTCACAGTACAGTACAGTAAAATGAGCAAAGCTATTATTATTATTTTTTACTGAAACCCACCTGATTTCCGAAGACCCCGATGGAGCATGCAGTGGACACTTCTTCCGAGCCGAACCACACCGACGCGATGCGCGAGGGCATCCCGAGGATAAACACCTGAGCCACTGAGCACGTGAACTGACCCAAGAATGTGACCGGAAAAAGGTCCGGTCTCGCGCTGGCCACCTTGATCCACGTGCCAAGACCAAAGAGAAAAGAACAAGGATATTATTTATAAATGTCATATGTGTTTCATATGTTATAATTTTAAACAATTGATCCATTTCTGTACTTGTAGGTCAAAACAATGCCTAATTTATTTATTTATTTCTTAATAAATTTTCTTTCTATTTTATTTGTTTCTTTTTACAATTTTGCCTTTTCGTTAATAGTTTTCTTTCATAATTGTTTTGCTCTTCAACAGTTCTGTTTATAACAAGCAAAACATGAAATATGGCATACAGGAAAAGAAAAGTCCCCCCACTATCATTGTTGTACAGTATACGGGCATGATTGAAAACAATATCCATGTCTTCACAGCCAAGTTTTATATATGACATAATAAAATAATGAAGAAAAAGCATCGGCCTATAGGCAAATCAGGAAAAAATTAAGAAACATTCTGTCTCATATTTAGTGACTTACAGCACATTCATCCGGGATGAGTCTTTATTAAACACTTGAAATGTGAAAATTAATTTTAAGCTTTTCTGAAACCATGGATAGAATAAAGCATAAATGATAGGATTAATGGTGGAGTTCAGGAAGAAAAATATCACAGCAACATCTCTGACATAAAACAAGTCAGCATTACTGTACGGAATCACTAAAGAACAAATATAATACGGCAGTAAACACAGAAGAAACACAAAGACCAGAATCCCCAGCAGGATCGCAGCCTTTCGCTCTGATTTGTCACTGACTCTGTTTTTGGAGGATTCTGTTCTGTTGTGAACCTGAAGGGCTCTTATAGCAGTCGCATGTCTCTTAGCGATGACAAAAACATGAGTGTATAATATTATAATAAGTGTACATGGCATAAGAAACACAATCAGAAGATCAATGAGAGATGAAACTCCATCTATAATATAAACACATTTTCCTGGACACATGACATTCCTATTTTTAGTTCAAAAGAAGTATACTAATAGCACACTTGAATAAACTTATTTTTCGTAAGGGATACCCTGCAAACATGTCCTTGCGGGGCCCATGCTGGCTTTTAGCGGGCTCAGTGGGCTAGGGCCAGCCCACACCAAACCTAAACAGGCCCAGTGCGGGCTTGCCCAGGTGAGGCCCACAGCTTTGGGGTCACCGCAGCCTCTCTGGGAGCAGCCCACACTATGGGACTGCCCACATTAATCCACTGATGGCACGGTATGGGCCAGACATGAGCCTGTTAATAAGAATTTTGTGGACAGTTTTCTTCCTTACCACTAGGGATGCTAGGGTGTTTTAGGGTTCCTTAAGTAAAGCCATGTGGTAGAGAGAGTTAACAATAGCAAGCAGCAGTAGCCAGCATGGCTCACCTGCTGAACACATTGTGCTGTTTCCTGGTTGGGAAATGTGTCGTTTTAAGCCCAGTCTAAAGGAGTTGTTTTTTTTTCTATTTAAAAGTGTACATTGCTGATGTTTTTGCAGAGATGTTACTTGTATGTATGGCCTATGTTTGGATTGATGCTAAGAGTTTAAAGGGGTCATATGATGTTGCTAAAAAGAACATTATTTTGTGTATTTGGTGTAATGAAATGTGTTTGTGGTTTAAGGTTAAAAAACACATTATTTTCCACATACTGTACATTATTGTTTCTTCTCTATGCCCCGCCTTTCTGAAACGCGTTGATTTTTACAAAGCTCATCGGTCTGAAAAGCGAGGTGTGCTGTGATTGGCCAGCTATCCAGTGCGTTGTGATTGGCCGCATTCCTCAAGTGTGTGACGGAAATGTTACGCCCCTACCATACTGTGATGATGCCCTGTCAGGCAGGAGCGAAGCATCAAAAACATGAAAACCCATTATAAACGAGGCATTTGTTGCATCCAGTGGGGACATAATTACGGATTATAATGGCTTATACTGTCTTTTTATGTGTTGCGTTGCATCGCATCGCACCGCACCGCGCAAACATAAAACCATGTCTGCATTTGTGATCGGAGAAATGACAAACAACAAGTGCTACTCTACACTGCTCAAAACTCGCATTTGAACCATCAGTGGCAAGTCCTTTAAATGTGAAAATGTACTTACAGTATGTGAGTCAGAACAGCCGGCATTGTAGTCTACTCTCCCAGGATCAG